ACGCTTATTTTCATTTGGGGGGTGGTCTATTTTGATTGATTGACATTGACATTTGGCATGTAATGACTCTTATACTATTTTTCTTTTATCTTTATTTTCCCTTTGGTATGTATATATTTTCCCTTTAGTTTGATGTATATATTCAGTTTCCCTTATGTATATATTCATTTTACTTCAGTTTATATATATTCATTTATCTTACTTTCGATAGTTTACTTCATGACTTATTTAGTTTGTTTTTCCTTAGTAGTATAACTTCTTATTTACTTTAGTGTTTCTTTTTAATTTGTTAGCTTCTTTTCACGTTCTTTGTGAACAATAAGCCTTTGTTTTTTTTAATGCCACGGTTCTTTTCAAAGGTGGATTTTGTGTGAACCGGGTGGCTCTTCCCAATGATGGATGGCGTGACAACCTTCTTAAGGGATTGAGTCAGTTTTCTTTTATTTTTAGGCAAATATAGTAGTAATGAATAAAAGGGTCTCAAGCATGCTTCACTTGGTACCAACGCATTTACCTATGATCGTATGGTTAAAAACAAGTTGTTGGCAGAAAATAGCTCTAGTTTTGACCCTTTTGACTCTTGTGTTGACTTAAGCAGTCATCGAGTGGTTCAAATCGAGCCATTTGTGATTCTCAATCTTATCTAGGGTTTTTGTGGGCCCTCGACTCCGTTCTCTTTAGCAATCCAGAAGCGTGAGCGGTGAGATGTTTAGTTACAAGTCCAAGTATCCGTGCTAATGGTCTAGAACTTGCTCCGAATGTTTTTCTAGGAGAAATTCTAAGTGTAGCTTGGCTTGAGAAATGATTGTAGGCTTTCCTTGATCCAATTTGAAATTTAAAATCTTCCATAGCCTACCAATGTGATATCCCTAGTCAACCTCTTTGAGCCGAAGCCCCTTTTCTTTCAATAACTACGTTACAAGCCTTTATCTATTTTGTAATGACCCTCTCTTGGCACCCGATCTTTCCTTAGCATTCTTGAGAAACAATTGGCAAAAACATAAGTTTGGGGCAGAGACGAGGAGTTTGAAAGTGATAGAAAGTACAAAGTAGAGAAAGAAATGAAGAAAAGGGAAGGCAAAGAAAAGAAAGAAAGAACAAAAAGAAAAATTCCAAAAAAAAAGAAAGTGAATAAGGTAGAAAGTTGAAGGGATTCAAAGAAAACAATGATGAAAGGCATGGAGTAAATAAAAAAGGAGAAAAATGAATGTCATGATCAAGAAAGAGTGATGTTACGTCTATCTAGCTCCCCCAAGGAAGAAGAAAATGACTCAAAGAGTCGAGAAAGTATGAGCCGAAAAGAGAAAATGGAGTGCTTAAGGAAAGATGAAACCATTATATTCCAACAAGTCCTACCTTGGTCCAAATTCCTTCATTACATCCCACAAAAGCCCTACATGATTTCAAGTTGAGTGAGCTTACACTAGTGGTGATTTACATAATGGACAAGCTTATGGTACTCAAAGTCGGACTTGTGGCGTTCTTTTGAGAGAGATGAGCGAACTTTTCACAATCCTTGCTTCGAGTGCTACATTCCAAAGTGAGATTTGCTAATGGAGAGTAGAGGAGGAGAATTTTGGGATCCACAATGACCTACGTGAAAGAGCGAGCTTCCTTGATGAATATAGTCAACTCTTGATGCTCTAGTGTCACATTAGAACTATTGTACTCCAAAGGTCAAATCATTGTGTTGTTGATAATTCATATGTGTTGTGGGTAATTATTGGTCCCAATTGATGTGTGATTGATTATCCGTAGGCCAGCTGAAATATCCCTTTTTCTAGTGGAGGCGGGAATTGCCTTAATTGCTTGAGGACAAGCAAAAGCTTAAGTTTGGGGGAGTTGAAAAGTAAGGATTTTTGACCGCTTATTTGCTCTCTTTTACTTGCATTTTAGCTCAAAAATGCTTAAAGGTATTCCTGAAAACTAATAAAATGTACTTGCTTGTAGGAATATTGGGAAATGAGTCAAAGAAGTCAAAATCAACTCATAAAGGAGTCAAAAGTGAACAAGAACCAAAACAGGGCAAAAAAGAGCCAACAGTGTGGACAACACAATTCTTGTGCGGCCGCAGAAGAAGAGATTCAGAGAGTGGTTTTAGGCAAGCTGAAGATATGTGGACCGCGCCAAAATTGTGCGGCTGCACTGACAATTATACGGTCCGCAGAAGTGAAGAATCAGAGAGCTAGGTTCAAGTTCAAAGTCAAGGAGTGCAGACTGCATCATTATTATGCGGCTGCATAATCAAGAGCACGACCGTACTCAGAATTGTGCGGTCCGTAGGAGTCCTACAAAGCTAGAAATCAAGATTCAAAGAGTGCGGACCGCACTAGAATTGTGCGGCCGTAGAAGCAAGAGTGCGGCCGCACTCAGAAATGTGCGGCCACATAACCTCCGTAGGGGCATTTTCGTTAGATATTTTTAGCGCAGTATAAATAGAACTTTTTGTCTTTTTTAGGTTAAGTTTTAGTTTTGGGGAGAGCACCTGAGCTGTTTACTTTATTATTTTGAGTAATTTTGTACTAGATTAACTTCTAAACATTAGATTTTCTTTCTCTAATCAGTTATTATGCATTCTCTCTTAATTCTTCTTGTATTTCTTTATTTTTCATGAGTAGCTAAATTTCTAGCTAGGGTTGTGGCCCAACCCTAGTGTGGGTATTTAATGGGTGTTTGATTTAGGGCTTGTTTGTGATTGGTTGGTGATATTTAGCCAAGTTCATGCTTGAATTCAAGAATTAATGGTTGCAAATATTGATTCATGCCTTTTTGACTTGGTCTCTACTTAAGAAAGAGAGACTAAGTCTAGGAAAATTTGGCTAACAAGAAAACTTGGCTAAAGGGTCAAATCTAGAGATAGTAAGACCCGACTTGAGCATATATCACTTGATTTGTGCAATACCCATTTGGACTTGAGAAAGCCAAATTGGGCAAAATCACTCAAACTATCGAGAGGTATAGAGTGGGTAATTGCGTGTGATTGCTATATTATAACTCCGACTAATCAAACTTGCCCTAGAGTTTATAACCCGTTAGGTAACTACCTAGGTGGAAGTCACGACCTTAGATCTTTTATCATTTGAAAAACAACCAAAACCAAAATTATTGTCTCCTAGTTTCATATTTGCAATCAATAGCCTAAAGTAGAAGTAAAAACAACAAACAAGAACGTGGAAGTGTAATTTGAGGCACATCACACAATTGCACTAAATATATACCTAATCCCAATTCTAACTCACTGAGGATTCGACCCCGACCCGTGTTGGGATTTATTATTGCTTCGACCACCTCACTACCTATACTTGTTGTGTGAGTTTGGGTGATATCAGGCACTTCGATCCCTGGGGCGGCTACATTATTGTTTTCTCCATGGAAACTGAGGCTGTTGTCGACGTGAGTGGGTACTGCTTGTGAGTTTGACATGTTGATCCTGAAATCAAAGAACACTAACAAGAACAAGCGTAAAGTAGTATGTGTATGAGAATTAACATTAGACAATCACTATTATCCTTAGCCCCACGGTGGGCGCCAAACTGTTTACCCTAAAAATTGGATAACAATTAAACTTATAATGTAGTTTTAAGGATACGTGATTTCACCTAATACCAATTGATGAATATGAAGATTAGTAATAGAAATTAACAATAAGATAAAGCAAACCAGTGTTTGAATGGAATTTAACCGTCGAGCTTGAATACCCTCGAATTGATTGGTGCAAGAACAGTTAAAAATATAACAAGCTGATGAACGAGAATATAAACGAAAGAGAAAGTGCTATATTTCTTTGATATCTGTGAACCACATCCCTTACAAATGATTAGAACCCTCTTTATATAGTATAGGAATCCTATCTATGGTACAATTCTAATTATGGAAGTAAATCCCATAATTAACTACACAACCGACCTTGATTTGGTTTGTTCCGAGATTTTCACCATGATCTTCGACCAGTCACAGATATCTCGCTTTTCCATTATTATGCTGTCTTCGGTCTTGCTCGATGTCTGTCCTGCTCAACCTCGATCATTATCGGTTTCGATCTTGCTAGATACCTCGAATCCGAACTCGGTACCTTATCCTTGTGTCACAGTTAAATATACTTCAAGGCTCATCCTCGATTCATCCTCCTGGTCTCGGTCAATTAGCGAAATCGGGTGGGCCTGGTTTTAACCGTATACAGGGTGCTACTAGCTATTTAAATGCGTAAAAAATTGTGGAAATTTTTTATTTTCCTTCACTTCACATATATAATTAAATTAGCTAATTAATACGTATTCTCATTATAACTTACTATAACTTAATTATAGTAAATTAGTATAATTTGATATAAACATTGGAGACACATGATCACGTGGGGAGGGACGACCGACACCAATTACAGAATGTTGGTGTTTTGTGAGAATTTTCTAAATTCTCGCCAATATCCGTAACATTTTAAGCCGTTAAAAGGGGCCCTTCCTTGTTTTCAGAAAATCTTGCCAATTTAAGCTAGCAGCAACGGCTACAATTGCATTTAAAGATACTATTTTCTTTTCAAGCATCTATAGAAAAAAATGGTTAGCTAGTAAATGAGTTGGAACATACTAGGACTTGAACTTTGTATATACCTGAACAATTCACTAGAAAATACTACGTACTACAATAATAAGAGTTTACAACTTATTGTCGTAATATTTTTTAAATCTTGATAGTATAAAAATTCTTTATATTAGTCAAACTCATATAATAATACTAAGTTCGGACTCATTATCATTAAAGAAACAGCAAGTGCGATGTACTCCTCACTCAACCTAACATATTAATTCATTTTTTTTTAAAACCGTATTTAAATTCATATTTTTTTTAGCCAGGGTCTATCAGAAACATCCTCTATCGTTTGGATAAGAAATAATATAGGAAATGAGTTACAATAGATACTTTTGGTGGATAATGAAATTTGTTCATAAGTACTCCACTTATATATAATATTGACTAAGTTGGAGATGATTCCACAATATATAGGGCAGTGCAAATATGTGACTATTCCAAATTATTTTCCCATTATATATGGGAGTTTGAAACCAAAAGACCAATAGCTCTGATTTGCATGCTAATCATTCTTTCGAAATACGCATACGCTAAAGCCTAAAAGGGGTACGTTGAAGACTCCATTATTTCTTTCCTAACATAAACATATTTCCCAATTCTCTGTAACAGTTGATTTCCCTTCCCAAGAAAATTCAAGAAAAAGTTGCCAAATGAACTCATTAAGATCACCATCTCTGCAGAAAGATAATTCCAACTACAAGTATATGCAAAAAAATAAAGACAAAGAATTGTCGGTTTCAGCAAGAAAACTGGTTTCTACTCGCTCGGAAATCAATGGGGTTGCAATGGCTAATAAAGAAAGAATTTTGCAGTCATCCAAATTGAGTTCAGTACATCCTTTTCATGCCCCTCTTTCTGAGGTGAGTGCTAATTTTGTTAGGTAAATTTTTGTCATTTGAGTTCTGCATATGGTGGTTTTTTCCCTTACTAGTGTGTAATTTATCTTTAGAGATCCCAAGTGGGTAGTCATAGAAGAAGAAAACTTATCAAGGCTGATTTCTGTCTCCAAAATGGTTGCTTTATGGAGGTACTCATTCCCTAAAATATTAATAAGTAATCCATTTTTAATCTGTTGTATATAGTGTTTTGGTGGCAGCACCTCATCCAAGGTATTGGATTTTAAATATTGGAGCGACTTGATTAGCGAGGATTCATATAGCTGACCTCTATGTTGCTCGGACTCTCCGAAAATGTTGCTGGGTGCGTGTCGGATCCTCCAAAAATAGTGTATTTTTTGAAGGATCTGACACGGGTACGACATCATTTTGGAGAGTCCGCGCAACATAGGCTGACCTAACTAGCTTGAAATTGAGGCCAAGTGTTGGTGTACCTTATCCAAAGTTTCCACTTCACTTCTCTTTTTACGTGCTCTATTTGCAACTCCGAATAATTTCGGAGCAAAAGTAACATTTTGTATGGCCTAAAACTGATTAATAATTTTTTTTCTGACTAAGATATTTCCATTCTGAGAATCTGAACAGTGCCTAAATTAAGATCTGCTATGAAAGAAAGAGGTAAAACAGGCCAATTAAGATTTGTTACTATAAATGACTTCAAATTTCATCTTAGGAAATGGACAAAAATTTTATGAACAAAGGGACAGACATGTGACTTGGTTCTAGTTCAGGTTCTATCAAAGTCGACAGGTCATATGTTGTTGAATTGATGTAATTTTGAATTTTTGCTGTCGTGGAATATTTTTTGTAACAACTCCCAATCTATCACTGCCCTCAACTGCTGCTACTTTCTGTTAGCTACTTTACATTGGAATATACAGCTAATGCAAGAATGAATATGCAGCTTGATCAGACACAAAATCACGGACAAACTCTAAGCAGAGAACTGTTGAAGGATGTCTATAATGGGCTTACCACATCTAAAGAGCTGTTGCATGTTCTGAGTCATGTCTGGAATCTCGAACAGCGGAAAACTACATGTTTATCCCTTTTCTCGTCTATAAAAACTGAGCTTGACTGTTTGTGTAATCAGGTGTCTAAACTAATAAACGAACACAGATATAACCACAGTGACCTTGATCTCCTCTTGAAGAAGTTTGAAGAAGAAAAGATGGCCTGGAAGATAAAAGAGCAAGACAACATTCATACTGCCATTACATCCGTAGCGAGGGAGCTCAAGATAGAGAAGAAGCTGAGGAACCTAACTGAGAGATTAAATAAGAAGCTTGGTAGAGAATTGGCGGATACAAAGACATCTCTTTCGAAGGTAGTTAAAGAACTTGAAGACGAGAAGAAGGCCAGAGAGATATTGGAGCAAGTCTGTGAAGAATTAGCCAGAGGTCTCGGAGAAGATAGAGCTGAGGTGGAAGAATTGAAGAGACAATCTGCTAAAATTTGTGAAGAGGTGGAAATGGAACGGAAAATGCTTCAACTAGCTGATGTGATGCGCGAGGAAAGAGTTCAAATGAAGCTTTCAGACGCCAAGTATCAATTTGAGGAGAAAAATGCAGTTGTTGATAAGTTAAGGAATGAATTTGAAGCCTATTTTAGATCTAAAAAGGGTCATGAACAAGGCGGTGATTTGCATAATTTTGAAACGATCAATGAGCTTGGGAGACGTTTGAGAGAAACACTTCCAAGCACACACCATTACCAAGATAAAATAAAGGCAGATGGAGAAGAACTCAATAAGGAAGAGAATGGAGACAAAGATGATTCAGCTGATAGCGATCTTCATTCCATTGAATTAAACATGGTTGATAATGGCAAGAGCTATCAATGGTGCACTGCTTTACTGAATGATCCAATATTTTCGATTTCTGATAAGAATAAAGAGAGGAGGTCCATCTCGGAGAAATTCCCAAGACAAAGCGCTTCCTTAGAAAGGGAAACTTCAGATGGCATAGAGTGGGAATTCTCCGCGGGAGAGAAAGAAAACGTGAACACTTTGGATAGAGGAATCTCAAACTTTCATAATAATGGAGGAATACTAGACTTCTCTTCTCAAGCATGGAAAAAGGATTGTGGAGATGAGATTGAGAGATACAAAATGATCAAGGAACTTCGAGATCATATTGTTTCTGCTTCAACAATAACATCTTCTCAAGAGTTTTCTAGTCCAACCGAGAATTGGAGTCGATACAGATTTTCTTCCGATGATCCTAAAAAAGTGATGGGCAAGGAATTTTCCGTCTTGTAGGAAGCAACTTGAACGAAAGCCAGTATGCCATTTTCAAGAATCCATCATAAAAGGCATGTTTGTCTTCCTGATCCACAGATTCCATAATTATATGGACATACTTATGTTGTTCTTTGTCTGAACTAATAGCTGAATATCTGAATATTTAGGAATGTGAACAGAATCTTGTGTTATCGCTGTTTGTACAAGATAAACAGTACAAAAGTGTGCTGATGTGGCAACGAAAAGGCCACAAGTGCATTTTGCTGTGAACTTTATGCATTCTTCAATACATTGTATGATTCTCTTCATTTCTTAACCCCTAATGGGTTCCCTAGTATCGAATCTGCTCCTTTTTGTTCTTTATGTGTTTCATCATGTCCACTTCTATTATGCTTAGCCTACTATACAGTGGCAGAGCTACATGGTTTGAAGGAGGTTCAATTGAATCCCGTTTTTCAGAAAATTATACTGTGCAAATAGAGTAAAAACAATTATTTGTATTTGCATAAGGGAAGCTTTTAGTATAATCGCAAAGGGTGACACTACCCATTCGTTCCAGGTAACAGTAAAAGCAAACTGCCTCTTGAGTGCTCAAGTGGAACTCCACAGGTTGAAGAATAAAGTTGCCATTCTGCGTTTGATGGAAGAATGTAAAACTCTAATTGAGAAATTTTCTTTGGAGAGCTTTACAAAGTAAGTCTGTATAATACTCAGTAGGTGCAATTTATCATTGGAGAGAGATTTTTTTACTGATCATTAATAAACACCGGATCATCAGTTTAAGGGAATATTCTCCATATGCTCAAGCTTATTACTAATAAACCTTTTTCATGAATAAATAGGTACTCCATTCAACAGCTGAGTTCCCTTCCTGATCCTTTCTTGTTGGAGTAACATCAACAACTTCACGGGAAAGGAAAACCAAACAAATACACAACATAATAACTCACACTATATTACATAACAAGAATTAGCAGATCATTCAAGTTGATTTATTCTTGGACGGATGCGAGCACGCAATGGATTCTTCATAGTAACGGTGAATTCCAGCTTCTCAGATAGATCCACATTGTCTCCATCCGCAGTTGTCCATTCAAAATGCCAGATCAAGTTAGCCACAAAGTACTCTAAATGGAGCATAGCCAAACCATAGGCTGGACATATTCTTCTCCCAGCACTCTCCCTGTTATATCGAACTCTTCTGTATCACCACCATCCGCGAATAAGAACCTATCTGGTTTAAAATCCAAGGGATCCTCCCAAACATGTGGGTCCCAACCCATTTCTGCAATCATGAAATTGATTGTTGCATCCTTAGGGATGACATAACCGTTTAGTTCCACTTCCTGTGTCACCATGTGCGGCTGCAGGAAGTGACCTGGCGGGTGCCGCCTTAGACCTTCCAAGATCACTGCTTTTAGGTAAGGCATTTTCTCTAAATCTTCCTCTTTTACTACCCCCTGATCTACGATCCCTTTGGTTTCGGATTCCCTCTATGCACTACTACCTCAGATAATCCATTGTAATGAGGTGGACGTAGTATCTGTGCCAGCGGTGAGGAACTCACTGCAGAGGCCAACAATCTCTCCATGATTAATCTTCCTCTTTTTCTCTGGCAATTCCAAATTCAGCAACGTATCCACATAAGCCATCACTTCTTCTTCCTCATGATGATTCAAACCATTAGTACTTTTTGCTTTCATTCGAGCCTCGATGAGAGGTATAAAGATCCTCTCTTGCTCTAGTTGCAGTTGGATGAGCTCTTTCCAGCGATTTCTGAAAATTATCTTTTCAAGATATCTTGGCAAGAAGCTGAGGTTGATGAATCGCCCCACACTTACAATCCATCTTCGTTGCACATCTTTACTCCGTTTAACTTGAGTCTCGTCAATCTTGTCCCCAAAACACACGAGGACAAGAAGGTAGATGGTGGCATAATGAAAATGAACAATTAACCTGATCAAATTTTCTGTGGCAGAATCAGAATCAGAATGGAGCTGTTGAACAAGGACACTCAGTGCCTGAGAACGGGCCTTAGAGAAGGACTTGGTGCGGGAAGGGTGGAGGATTGCAGAGGTAAGGTTACGACGGAGGAGGCGCCATAAGGGGCCGTAAGGGGCGGAGGAGATGTTGATGCGGTTACTGTGAATGATTACACTGGTCTGCGCAGCCTTTGGCCGGTCCGAGAAAACAGCACCTTGTTGGACTAATGCTCTGTAGGCTAATGAGTGGCTAGCAACAAATATCGAAGAACGAGATATAATTCCACTTCTCAAGTTGAAGAGAGGACCATACTTAGCCTTAAGGTCCCTGAGGATGAGTTCTACACCCCATAGTAAGCTGCCAATGACCGAAAAGTCAAAGGGTCCGGGACCGGGTGGGAGTTTCTTCTTCTTCTTGTTGTTCTGGTTATTGGATTTTTTGAGGAAGAAGGAGATACAGAGAGTAGTGATGATGAGGAGGAGCCATGAGTACTCCATTATTTTCCACTTGTGATCTGCACTTCTCCACTTACTCTTATATATATATATAAAGAATGCATCTACTTGTACTCGAAAAGTATACTATTACTTGTGGAGAGTACGGCATGAATTTGTCGTAACCAAAAATTTTAATTAAAAAAAAAAAAAAGTTAAAGAGACAATGATGATAGCTTCCATCTACAATTTTTTCGTTGTGTATAGCCTCGTCCAATTATAGTATACGTATGGAGTAATGTTTAAGCTGAAACTGTTAAGAACAAAGGATGATAATCGAATATGACAAATTTGCTCAAAGTTAAGATTGTTTGAGAAAACCTTTTCACGTTTTCAGTAATTATTAGTATATTGTATTGAAAGTGTACAGCAAGTTTTTCTTAGAGACATACTTCATGTTCTTTCTATTCTAAAACATAAATTATTTATTTAATTCCACGTTAATTTGCTCAATCAATCCAAGCGGGCCACTGACGACCAATCTGGAAAATGACTTCCGGACAGAACCTAAGGGGATCATTTTCGTGAGATTGAAGGGGATTTTATTTGGTTTTCCTCAATATTTAAGTCAATAAAATATGAAAAATATTAACAACATTTTCTTTCATACCAAACACTTTTATCTCAAAAAATCATGTGTATGGTATCGCAGTAATGTAAGGATCAAATACTGTTATGCACACACCCACACACTGAATTGTGAATATAAATTAAATACTCTTACCACTTCCTAAAAATGCACAAATAGCCTATAAATACCTTTGCAAGCAGCTTCCTGAAAAAGTTTTAAGTAGATTTGCAAGCTGTTTCCTTAAGAAGCTTATTAAGTAGTAGCTTTGCGAGCAATTTCTTCAAGTGACTTACAAGTAGCTTATTTTCGTAACTGTTTGATCAAAAAGTATAGTACTCTTTGTTAAACCAAAATTAAAAAATAACAGAGGTATAAGGTGAATCCTAGTCAAGCATAATAATTCTTAGATCTAGCTAAGAGTTTAAGTGATATCGTTTACTTAGTGCTCAGAGTCGTGTATTCAATCATTTAATGCGCATTTTAGAGAATAAATGAAGAATGAATGATGAGCAATAAATATGGAAAGTGGCAATAAATGTAAATAGGAAGAACAATTCACCCAAATATCAAATGATATGGAAGATCCTTCCTTCTCACAACGAAATATGGCAGTAGATAAGAATATGAACAATACTTTCTTGGATCATGTGAATGTAAGGGAAGAATAATCGATAAAATCAATCACTGTGGAAAGGTGAACTTTGTATTTTCTCTCAAGGGTCAACTTCTTACTATAGTTTTTTCAGAATAAATCTCACATCCCTCTTTTCTTTCTCTCTTTTTCTATTTATATGGGATGTTCTCCAAAAATCCTAAAAAAGTACAACAAAGGGAATATTCAAGAGAATATTCCCATCTCTAGTCCCGAGACTGCACTAGCCGTTATTCCTACTCCTCGCTATTCGACCTCAGCTTTAGCGGCTTGCTCAACGACTACTCGTTGTTGGGCTTCGGTCGACCTCGGTTTTGCAGCCCAAAGTCGATCTCTTCTCACTTGACGATCTTTTCACGTCTGATTCCCTAAGTCCGATTTTGACCCATACAGTTAGTCCCTCCGCTTGTCGAGGTCGCCTTCTGGTCGGCCCCGATGAGCGGACTTTATTAGTTGGCAACTTAGGAAATTTTTTTGGCGTGACGACCGAGTGGGGGTGCTTGTAGCTGAAGCGATGATGTGTCGTTCTGAGAGTCGTTGGTTACGAGGCTGGTGCAGGGTGACATCACAATGCATGCGTCATCAATGGCATCTTCTCGATGTGTTGCCTCGTTCTTCGAGCTCCTATCGTTTCGATTCTAGGGCCGCTGTGGTTGCTTGCATCGATTCGAACGCCTCTGATGCCTATAAATATAGAGGGGAAAACTTCTTAAAGGAACTTTTGCATTCTTCTAATTTCTTCAGCCTTGCACTTGCTTCTCTTTCTCCTTCTTGTGTTCTTGCTCCCTACAACCGCTGCTGTTGCCACCCTTTCTTCTTTTTCTATTCCGTCGTATAAACACCATCGAAAAATGGCTACCGTGACCCCCAAGGCCGAGATAGTCTCTGAGCCTACTCCATTATCGGTGGTCGTGCCTTCTGGTGGCGAAGAATTAGCGGTGATGGAGGATGAGAGCTTTCCCACTGTGGAGGAGATCATTCCTCGTAATCCTACTTCTAGGTCTGACTTCTTTAAGGAGCACCTTGCCGCCCTTAGACCAAATACGGCATTCTAGCCCACGTTGACCTGGTTCCGGCTGGAGATGACGAGGTTCAAGTTCACAGGCCTGAGTATTGTGCATACTACGCCTACCCGTTCTAGATAGGCTATTCTATTCCTCTTCCTTTGTTGGCGGAGGAGTTCTGCCGCTACTACCACATCTGCCCGGCACAGCTCTCTCCTTACCTTTACAAGATCTTTCCTATGTTAGGAAGTTTGCGGAGCTTGCCGGCTGCGAAGTCTCTATCCGCCATCTACTGCATCTCTTCGGGCCGAGCTTCCATAGGGGCACGATGATTCACCTCCACCACCGCGGAACCAAAGGGTTGGCGGCGGGGATGGATTGATAGGACGAATCGCTGGTTTTGGGCCCATTAGTTCTTCATTAAAACCAAGCACGCGGTGGAAACCCTAGCGACTTTCCTGAACAATGGAATTTTGCTCATAAGTATCGTTATTTGGAGTACGTTCTTCCCTTCTCTTCGTGATTCGTGACTTGTTACGTCATTTTTCCTTTTGCAGCTAAGAGGCGTCCCCCATCTTTGGTCGCCAATATCAGTGATTGGGTGGCTCGCGTCTTGCCTCACACCGTAGGGATTTGTGACTGGGCGTCCTTCAACAAAAGATTCGGGCTCAATCCATCGGCTGGTAAGTCAGGTTTCGCCCTTATAATTATTTTGCTTTTGTTGTGGTGCATTTCTTTTTGCCGTTTATAGTTTTCCTTTGATGCTAGGTCGGAGAACTTCTAAGAAGGTGAAGGCTCCTATCCCCACATTTTGCTAGGTGGTTGCTTCGGCTGGGATGCAGTTTGTGTTGGCTGAGTCTGTGCGAAATACGTCTTCCCAGACTCCGGTATTAAGCGAGCCTGGTCGTCAGACGTCCACTCCGTTAGTGGAGATCCTGGACTGCCCGGTGGTTCATTTACTGGACGAATCTTCCCCTGGTGAGGAGAAAGCGATGCCATTGAAGAGGCAACGAGTAGAGGCCATGGTCACACCTGAACGGGCCATGATCATGGACGTGGAGGCGACGTGCACTTCAGCTACGTGGACTTCTCCCCCACCGGAGATTGTCGCGGAAGCTAGGCCATTAGAGATGGTGGAGGCTGCTGCGGAAACGGAAACACTGGGGGCAGCCGAGGTTGGCTTATCGTCTACTGGTGGTAGAGAAAAAACTATCATTGTGGAAGATGACGGGTCCGGTTCTGATATCGACCCCGAGAAGGTACGGACTTTCGAGGAGAGATTTACTCGAGTAGAGGTGAGGACCGAGGGGTCCACTCAAAATATTGTCATCCCCGTGGATTTCAACTTGTTGGTCAACTCGAAGAGCATGGTTCCAACTTTGGCCCCCCTATGCGCGGAGCCCGAGAACAGGACCTTGCAGACGCTGAAGGATGCGGACCTGTCATTAGGCATTTCCGGGATGGCCCTACGAGTAAGTCCTCTCTAAGCGTTTCAATTTCTTCTTCTTTTTATGTTATTTTTCTTTGCTGACCTTTCTTCATCTGTTTATCAGACTCTCATCTTGGAGATTGAGAGCACGGGTTGGGAGGAGAAGAGAACGAGACTCTATATAAAGATGGAGTCAGAATACAGAGAGTACAGTACTAAGCACAAAGCCCTGGTCCGCATGCTTGGTGAGCACGCTTTGTTCCCAACTCTCCCTGGCGATCTGAGACAGAAGAGCGAGGAGTTGAAGGCGAAGGATGACGAGTTGAAGGAAAAGGATGATGAGCTCATGAGGATTATTGGCAATTGCAGCAAGCTCGAAGAGACGTTAAGGACCAAGAATGATGAGCTCGACGTGAGCAGGGGGGTCATGGCTGAGCGCGTCAACCTCCAAGCTCAGGTGACGTCTTTATGGTCGATCTTGAGCAGAGCGAAGCTGTAGTTAACGGCTTAAGGGACGAGCTGGCTTCCAAAGCTGCGGAGTTAGAGCTAGTTGAGAGAGCGAGATCGACTGCTGTGGCGGAGGCGGCGGCGTTAGCGGGCGCTATCCGCATCCTCATATCAGAGCGAGCTAGTGAAGCAGAGACTTGTGCTCTTAAAGAGGCAAGGCTCAAAGAACGTATAGGTGGGTCGGAAGGGGAAGTGCTGGATTTGAACGAGCAGATAACCGCCCTCAAGGCCGAGAAAGTGCAGTAGCAGGCTCAGCCGTCTACCTCTCATGCTTCCACTTATCCCGATGTCCTACAAGATTTGTATGAGAAGTGGGTCCATGCTGAGGCTTATCTTGACATATACAGGGCTTTAATGGCTGCCAGAAAAGCTTCTGAAGCGGAGTTTGAGGATGCACGTGTTAAGGCATGTGCAGCTCGTACCGCTTGCGGCTATGACCCCGGCACGCCCGGAATGGATGATGACGACGAGGATTTGGACTGGATTGAGCCAGATGCTTGGTACGATGACGAGTATTCAAATGGCGGGGGCGCCGGTAGTGATGGCGACAGGGGAGCTGCAGCCGAGTAGTGTGCTTTTCTCTGTACTTTTGTTCCCTTCTTTTTCTTGTGCCTTGTGGGCACTTGTTTGGCCATTGTAAGATGATATTTTGTAATGATAATCCTTTGGTTTTCTATTCTTGAACTTCTCGCTTTTCTTCGCATGCTTTTTCCTTCGTAAGTGTTCCTGACCTAGTTGAATCGAATGGGGTCGAATGTTAATGAATTTGACCGAAGTCGAATGTCAAATAATTCGAACGAAGTCGAATGTTAATGAATTCGAACAAAGTCGAATGTTAAATAATTCGAATGAAGTTGGATGCTAATGAGTTCGAACGAAGTCGAATGTTAAATAATTCGAACGAAGTCGAATGTTAATGAGTTCGAACGAAGTCGAGTGTAAATAAATTCGAGTGAGGTCGAATGTGAGTTGATTCGAGCAAGGTCGAATATTTGACTCTTAAGTGATTCGAACGAGGTCTAATGTAAATAAATCCGAGCGAAGTCGAATGTGAGTCGATTCGAGCGAGGTCGAATATTTTGACTCTTAATTGATTCCAACGAGGTCGAATGTAAATAAATTCGAGCGAAGTCGAATGTGGGTCGATTCGATCGAGGCCGAATGTTCGACTCTTGAGTGATTCGAATGAGCTCTAATGTAAATAAATTCGAGCAAAGTCGAATGTGAGTCGATTCGAGCAAGGTCGAATGTTTTGACTCTTAAGTGATTCGAACGAGGTCGAATGTAAATAAATTCGAGCGAAGTCGAATGTGGGTCAATTCGAGCGAGGTCGAATGTTCGACTCTTAAGTGATTCGAACGAGCTTGAATGTAAATAAATTAGAGCGAAGTCGAAAGTGAGTCGATTCTAGCGAGGTCGGATGTTCGAATCTTAAGTGATTCGAACGAGGTCGAATGTAAATAAATTTGAGCGAAGTCGAATGTGAGTCGATTCGAGCCAGGTTGAATGTTTTGACTCTTAAGTGATTCGAATGAGGTCGAATGTAAATAAATTCGAGCGAGGTCGAATGTGAGTCGATTCGAGCGAGGTCAAATGTTTGACTCTTGGCGTAATGTATGAACTTGGCAGAGATGAAAAACTCGTGTGTTTGCGCATTTCGCTTTGTTTATACATTCATTGGAGAAGTTTACATGTCTTTGGTATTTTCATGCATACATTAGGTAAGTCCCAGTTTATCTAGTCCCTTCATTGATCGACCTAGAAGAGCAATTTGAGAGGTCAAGCGATGAACTTATACTCAAACTTCGAGACGCTCTCTTTGTCAGCTCGTTAAAAACATCCCCGAGAAAACCCAATTGGGATAAAACTTTGGTAAGGGCAAAAAATGTACGACTCGGGAGACGTCTATCCTTAGAAGTTGAAGTATTTGAGGTGGGCGATGTTCCAATTGTTTGGTAGTAATTTTCCTTCCATTGTTTCTAGCTGGAATGAACATTTGCTTACTGCCGCCGTGATTTTGTATGGGCCGTCCCAATGGTTCCCAGTTTGCCGTCTCGTGGGTTTTTGAGCACGTAATCCCCGACTTTGAGTGGCCTGATTTTGGCTTTTTGGTTGTTGTACAGCTCTGCCTGTTGTTTTTGAGCTATCATACTTATGTAAGCCATGTCTCTCCGCTCTTCGGCTTCGTCGAGGTCTTGTCTTCTGTTCTCGTCGTTGCTTGACCCGCTTTCATTTGAGTATATTAGGCTTGGTTCCCTGACCTCAACTGGTATCATTGCATCAGTCCCATAGTCTAGTGAGTATGGCGTTTCCCCTGTGCTCGTCCTTGGCATGGTGCGATATGCCCATAACACTTCTGGCAGCACTTCTAGCCACAGTCCCTTGGCATTTTCGAGTTTCTTTTTCATGATATTCAATATTGTTTTGTTGGAGGATTCCGCCAGTCCATTGCCTACGGGATGATATGGTGTGGAGAGTATCCTTTTGATGTGCCATTTTTCGAAGAACTCGACGGTCGTTTTCCAGTGAACTGGGGAGCATTGTCGCAGCTGATTTCTTTGGGGATGCCGAAGCGGCATATGATGTTTCTCCATATGAACGTGATTACTTCTTGCTCGCGTATTTGGGGGAATGCGCCTACTTCTACCCATTTGGAGAAATAGTCAGTTAAAACCAAAAGAAAGCATACATTACCTCGTCCCGCCGGGAGGGGTCCGACGATGTCCATTCCCCATTTGATGAAAGTCCAGGGCGAGGTGGCTGAATGAAGGTGCTCGCCCGCTTGGTGAATCGTGGGGGCGTATCTTTGGCATTACTCGCACCTTTTGACGAAGTCGGCGGCTTCCTTTTTCATCGTGGGCCAATAGTAGCCTGCTGGTATAAGGCATCTAACGGGAGCTCGGTTGCCGGTGTGAGCTCCGTAGTGGCCCTCGTGTACTTTTTCGAGGACGCGCCATGTTTGATTCGGTCCTAAGCCCTTTGATAGGGGACTACCAAATGTTCTTTTGTACAGGTCGTTATTGACGACGCTGTACCTGGCTGCCTGCATTCGAAGTTTCTTGGCTTCTTTTTTGTCGGGCGAGAGCATTCCGTCCTGTAAGTATGAGATAATATGGTTGCGCTAGTCCCAAGTTAGGTTTATAGTTCGTACCTTGATTTGTTCTAGTGATGAATGGAGGAGAGTGACCACGTCCCCCTCCCCGGTAATGCTTTTGGTGGCCCCTGCCAATTTGGCGAGGTCGTCTGCTTCAATGTTCTGCACTCGGGGTATTTGATCGATCAAGCATTTGTCGAACTCGGGTAACAGTCTGCAAACTCGGCCTGATATTTCTGTAACCATTGCTCCTTAATTTGGAAAGTCCCTGTGACCTGATTGACGACGAGTTGCGAGTCGCATCGAAGAATGACTCGCCGTGCTCCGTACTTGAGTGTTTAGTTTAACCCTGCAATCACGGCCTCATACTCGGCCTCGTTGTTAGTCATATCAGGGCATCGTATGGATTGGGCAACCATTTCGCCTGCTGGGACTTCGAGTACGAGTCCCAGTCCAGATCCTGATGCGTTAGAAGCATCATCGGTGTACAAAACCCATTGGTCGTGTACTTTGGTGGAGGAAATGGCGGTTTCCCTTTCGACCTCGGACATTAACTTCTCACTGTAGTCGGCGGCGAAGTTGGCAAGAACTTGCGACATTATCGCAGTTTGCAACTGATAGGTTATATCGTGCTCGCTCAGCTCTATGGCCCACTTGGCCAATCTGCCCGACAATTCGGGTTTGTGCAAGATACTCCTTAAAAGAAAAGTTGTGACCACCAAGATGGGGTGGCATTGGAAATAAGGTCTAAGCTTCCGCGAAGCTACGACCAGGGCCAGAGCTAACTTTTTGAGGTGGGGGTACTTTGTTTCAGCGTCGACCAAAGTTTTGCTAATTTAATAGATCGGAGATTGCGTACCTTTATTTTCTCGTACCAGGACGACACTTACTGTGACGTCGGGCACAACCAGGTAGATGGGGAGGCGCTCTTAGGGTACTGCCTTAGCGAGCAACGATGGCGAAGACATGTAGGCCTTTAATTCTTTTAAGGCGTTGACGCACTCGGAATTCCATTAGAGTCCGTTATCCTCTTTGATTACGCCAAAAAATTTGTGGCATCTGTCGAAGGATCGTGAGATGAATCTTGATAGGGTGGCTATCCGACCGGTCAGCTTTTACACCTGCTTTTTCCTGGTCAGTTTTTTTGGGATTCCTTCTAAGGCCTTGATTTGGCGAGATTGACCTCGATGCCTCATTGTGATACCAAGAAATCGAGGAATTTCCCCGATGTCACGCTGAAAGCACATTTCTCGGGGTTTAATTTCATGACGTACCTTTGGAGTATGTCGAAGGCTTCCCTCAGGTGGTCGATATGGTCTTCCTTTCTCTTTGACTTGATCAACATGTCGTCTATATATACTTCTATGGTCTTACCGAGTTGATCCTTGAACATTTTGGTCACCTACCTCTGATACGTTGCCCCCACGTTTTTTAACCCGAACGGCATCACTCTGTAGCAGTACGTCCCCTGATGGGTGATGAAGGTGGTTTTTTCCTTATCCTCCCCCTCCATGAGGATTTGGTTGTAGCCCAAGTAGGCATCCAAGAAACTCAGCAGTTCGTGCCCGGCTGTGGCGTCGATAAGTTGGTTGATGTGGGGTAGTAGGACGAGTCTTTTGGGTAGGCTGTGTTCAGGTCTGTGAAGTCTACGCACATTCTCCACTTAGCGCTCTTCTTTTTCACCATGACTACGTTGGCGACCCACTAAGGTTACTTCGATTCTCCAATAGAGTCGTTCACTAATAATTTCTCGAACTCTTCACGAACTGCGTCATTTATTGCAGAGTTGAACTTTTGTCTGATTTGCCTTACTGGGGGAGGGGGGTGGGGTAAAATGGGTCAACGTTCAACTTGTGAGTTTCTATCTCCTTTGGGATACCTGGCATGTCTTCATGGGAAAAAGCAAATAGGTCTACGCTATTTTTTAAGAACTGATGAAATTTACCTGGATCTTGGAGTTTATGGCCGATGAAAGCTTTCTAGCTATGCTCGTTGTCATCTAGTTGGACGGGGTCAAGGTCCTCTACGGTTGACCCCGTGGCTTCTATGATTTCAGGGTCGTTGATGACGTCTTTCCGACCCCGACTTCGTTAATTGCTATGCTTCCTCGTCTTTTTCTTTCAACTGTTGGGTGTACGTGCAGTCTTGGGCGATGCGGTAGCATTCTCGGGCCGTGCGTTGCTCTCCCCAAATGCAGAATACTCCCCAGGGGGTGGGAAATTTAATGACTTGTTACAAGCTGGAGGGGACAGCTTTCATGGCGTGTATCCATGGTCGGCCTATGATGGCGTTGTATGCCGTATCCTGGTCCATGATGTGGAACGTGGTCTCCAAGGTGACGCTGCCGGCCAAGATGGGCAGCGAAATTCTCCAGATGTCCGCTCAGCTTCATTGTTAAAACCTGTTAGTGTGATGCAACATGGCACTATCTTGTCCTCGAGCTTTATTTGGGTGAGAACTCGAGGATGGATAATGCACGCGCCGCTTCCATCATCGACCATGATACGTCTTACATCAGTATCAAGAACAGGTAAAGTAATGACAAGGGCGTCATAGTGAGGAAAGACCAAACTGTGGGTATCCGACTTATCAAAGATGATACTTTCTTTGAGTTCGTCATACCATTCGTGGGTGATTGACCGCTTGAGCTTCTGAGTGGGGGTAAACTTCACACTATTGATGGATGCGTCATCGCCTCCTCCGATGATCATTTGAATGGTCCGAACCAGGGAAGGTGGTTTGGGCGGCCCCTGATGCTGTTCTCGCCCTCGGGCGAAGTTGTCCCTCGCTCGATCGCTCATCAACCCTTTTAGGTGCCCTTGGTGAAGCATGTTCATGACCTCTTGTCTAAGGGCGATGCAGTCGTTGGTCTTGTGACCCCGTTCCTGGTGAAATTCGCAGAGGGCATTTGACTTTCTAGTGCTTGGGTCGGATTGCATCTTCTGTGGCCACTTTACCTATGGGCCGAGCTTTTCCAATGCGTAGACTATTTCTGAGGGGGAAACACAAAAATTGTGAGCTGATAATAAGGGGGGCATACCTCTTTCATTTTGGTGGATTCCTATTCGGGGCCTGGATGGGCCTTCGTCGTGATGTGGAGGCGGCTTGAGAGTGCCTCTGACGTAAGGCTGATGTCTTTCTCGATTAGGTCGTGACCCTGCTAGAACTCTTCTGCTTTCGTTTCTTCGGTCTTTCCTAGACTCCATTTGGACCGAGGTCAGACGTTGTAAGTCCGTTGAGATCATCCTCGTCGGCCCTTACCTCGGCATAGTAGGCATTGTGTATCTCGTCCCAAGTGGTTGGAGGGTATTTCATGAGTCGGCTTAGCAACTTTTTGGTTGCCCGTGACCCACTTTTGCTTAGCCCATTCTGGAAAGCGGCCACCACCATTCCTTCAGATACATTCGCAAGGGTCATTCTTACATGGTTGAACCGGGCGAGGAAGTCCCTGAGTCCTTCACCAGGTGATTGTTTAATGGCGAATATGTCGTTGACCCTTGCCTCCGCTTTCTTGGCTCCGGCATGGGCGGTGACAAACTTGTCGGTCATTTCCTCAAACATTTCTATGGAGCGCGCAGGTAATTGCGAGTACCAAGTCAGGGCCCCGCCGGTTAGGGTTTCTCCAAACTTCTTCAGCAATATGGAAGATACTTGTTCTTTTGCAAGGTCATTGCCTTTCACTGCAGTAACATAGTGGGTCACATGATCCTCCGGGTCCGTTGTACCATCATATATTTTCAAGAATGGCGGCATTTTGAAAGTTTTTGGTATAGCATGCGGTGCCGCTTCATCGCTATTTGATTGTTCCACAAACCGGCCGGCGTCCCGCTTTGGTAGGAGTTTTGGGGCGCCCGGTATCTTATCTACCCTTCTTGATGCTCTCTCATCTGGTCGCGGAGTGCTTTGTTCTCATTCTCCATCTCCTCTATTTTTCTAAGGATGGCAGCGAGGGCGTCGTTACCTGCATCATTAACGGAATGAGTGATACCTGTCGAGGGAGGCTGGGTGTGTTGCTCATTGGTTGTTGTGGCGATGTCAACTCGCACACCTTACCTACTCGTCATCTGAGCGGGTTTGTCGAGTATACTGTTCAGTGTACTCGTTAGCCATGCTTCTAGTAGCTTTTTTATCGCTGGTGGTGCTTCTTCCGTAGTGGACGCAGAGGCTCCCTTTCCATGAGAAGCGGTAACGCTGCCATGAGGGGGGGGGGAGGGGGAGGGGGGTGAATCACTTCGCCTGGGTAAGGCGCTCAGTGTCACTTTCTTCTCGTCTTCTCCGTGCGCTTGATTGATGGTATTTAGGAGATTAGTAGTAAGGCCTGCCACTGCTTTTAGTCTTTCTTCTCCATTTCCTGCCATGTTAGATTATGCAAGTAGGGGAAAGAAAATTTTGTACTTTGCTATTGGTGTGTTTTTGTAGATCTAGAAAGACTATGATATTGACTAGAAAGTCTCCAGAGACGGCGCCAAATTGTTTGACCAAAAAGTATAGTACTCTTTGTTAAATTAAATTAAAAGATAACAGAGGTGTAAGGTGAATCCTAGTCAAGCATAATAAAACTTAGATCTAGCTAAGAATTTAAGTGATATCATTTACTTAGTGCTCAGAGTCGTGTATTCAATCATTTGATGCGCATTTTAGAGAATAAATGAAGAATGAATGATGAGCAGTAAATATGAAAAGCGGCAATAAATATAAATAGGAAGAACAATTCACCCAAATATCAAATGATGTGGAAGATTCTTCCTTCTGACAACGAAATATGGCAGTAGATAAGAATATGAACAATACTTTCTTGGATCATGTGAATGTAAGGGAAGAATAATCGATAAAATCAATCACTGTGGAAAAGTGAACTTTGTATATTCTCTCAAGGGTCAACTTCTTACAATAGTTTTTTAAGAATGAATCTCACGTCCCTCTTTCCTCTCTCTCTTTTTCTATTTATATGAGATGTTCTCCAAAAATCCTAAAAAAGTACAACAAAGAATATTCAAGTGAATATTCCCATCTCTAGTCCCGAGACTGCACTAGCCATTATTCCTACTCCTCGCTATTCGACCTCAGCTTCAGCAGCTCGCTCAATGACTGCTCGTTGTTGGGCTTCGGTTGACCTCGGCTTTGCCGCCCAAAATCGCTTCTCACTTGACGATCTTTTCACGCCTAATTTCCTAAGCCCGATTTTGACCATACAGTAACATGCTAATTAACAGCTTCTGTTCTTCTATAAATAAAGATCTAAATCAATTCATTCGATAGTAATTTAAAAGTGAATAATACATCAGTCTTTTTTATAATTTTCTCTACTTTTACTTTGCAGTTTTATTGTAAAATAAAAAGTGCATTGTTTTAAGTTTAATTGAATCGGACAATGTAATCCTTAGGTTATTACTTTGGCCTTTTTATTTTGGTCCAAAATAAGTGTCCTTTTACATCAAGAAGGAATTAATTTTGTTCTTCCAAAGTTTGGCCTTATTTACATATCCCAATATATCAAGGTAATAATTAATTAAGGATAATTTAGTGAATACATCTTATTTTCTCTAGGAAGTTCGTATTTTTTCTTAAGGGGTGTGTCAAAGACTAAAAATCACTTATTATGGACCGGAGGGAGTATTCAATTTTTTGGTATTAATGAAACAGGAAAAGACAAATTGAGAGTTTGGAGAGACCCACAATGTTTTGCAGAGTATGCGCGGAATATAAGGCAGAAACATTTTTTGTTAAATTAAAAGAGGCAAAGGTTCCTTGGACGACCAAGGGTGTTTTGGTAATTTTATATATTGATATTTTTAGAACCTGGACCCATTATTATGTTAATACAAGACCCATTGAAAGCGGACCACATGTGTCCTTTTGTTCTCCACGTGCTCCACTTTTTACTTTACCATTTAGAAAGAATTACAAGAAAATACACTTGACATCACACTATAACAAAAAATGGCCCATGTTTTTAAGCTTTACCCGACCTAGCCCATATTGTACATATTTTGAAAGCACTAGCAAATTTAAAATCTATGGAGTTAAATTTGTGTTCTCACAACCATTGCTTTCACTCTCTTTTCTTCTCACATCTTCTACATATGCTTCAAGGGGTCGTCCGCCATTACTGCTTCTCCCCCTGTGTCACCTGGTTGCAATGTAAGAAATTGAATAGTAGAAGTCCACCATTGAAGGCTTTTTAAAGCTTTGCTTTCAAAAATAGGATTTCTTTGAATTTGTTAGTTGTTTGGACTTGGTGTTGTTCCAATTGATTGAAAATATCAAAAGGGGTTCAAAATTTCAATTTGAAGTAATTTTGAGTAGATTTGAGCAAGATTTGAGTTAAATATCAGAAAAGACGCAAGGAAGAAGACGAAGTCAGTTTTTTGTATAATTATGTATAATCTTGTATAATAGTGTATATGGATGTATAAACACATCTTATGCACTATTATACACTTTTATACACCTTTATACAAGCATCTGTAGACGAACTTCTTTCACGATTTTCAGTTGCAATTCTTGTTCAAAACCAGTCCAAATCTCAATTAAATGACTTCAAATTTTATATACAACCTCCTTATACTATTTCTAACAATTCTAAATAACACCCGCTCCAAATTTCTAGCAAAATCAAATTCGGAATCTAAACCCACATATTTAAGCTTGTTAAAAATCTAATTTTCACCATTCAAATGGATTTGGTTTGTTGAACTAATATTTGAGTTATAGTTGCTGATTCAAAAATTAACTTAAAAGCTTGAGTAACCTTTTTTAAAAATTAAATAGTAATTTCGAGAATTTATTGAAGTTGGGTGTTGAATCTTAGCCTATTATTTTTAGGCTAGTTGGTTGTAAATTGAAATATGGGTTATAAAATTAAAAAGTAGGGATCCAGTTGTTCTTATGTGAAATTTTCCCTACCATTTATTGCCTTTCTTTTACACTTTCCATTGTCTAATGTCCAGTCACTTCATCTTCTTCACTGGAAAAAGGTACGATCCTCTACCCACTTCAGTTTCAATGGTTTCTCTCTCTCATTCATCTACTTCTCTTCTATATTCTATCAGTGCATTTCTTTCATGGTTTATTTCATTCGTGGGTCTCTATCTCAGTTTCAAGGTTCTCCATTTTGTCTAATTTGTGATTCTCTAAGCTTTCAATTTGTGGGTAAATTTTTGCTAGATTCTTTTCCTTTCCGTCTAATTTTCTTCTGGTTGCTTTTTTTTTTTTTTTTTTTTTTTTTTTTTATACTTTTGGTACTCCTTTTTGAATTTTATTTGTAGCTTTTCAAATTTCTCACTAGAAAAAGGCAGGGAGATGGATATTATTTGTCTTTCCTATGTTTTTTCAACCATGCATGTGTTAATTTAAGGCGACAGAGAGCAATTTTAGCGCTTTTTCTTTGTTATTGGGATTGTTAGTAATAGCAATTAAAGTGATTTCCTACGTTTTTTTCTTTTTTTTTTTCTCTTGATTTCTTTATGCTTTCTGCATTTTATGTCTTGCATGTGTGAGTTCTTTCAGATGAATGTCGGAAGTTAATTTATATTGATTAACACCTGCAAATTTCATATTTATGTCTCCTGTTTCAGGATAAAATTTAGGACATCTAGAGCTTATGGCTATTTCTGTTGATTACCTACATGCATGGCAACTAGAATTCTTTTTCTGCTGAAAATTTTATTATCTTTACTGTTTTTGATGAAATTTATGCTACACTGAATAGTTTTCCGCTATTTTGGCTTTTTCAGATAAATTTCTGTGGGTTGATCCATAGGAAAGTATGGGTCAAGAGTTAGGCATTTTCTGTGCATTTTCTGTGTACGATCTTAGGTTTCTCTTAGTTCTTGATAGCAATTGGACAATTGCTTTGCATGTTCTTAAATTAGACTAACAGAAACATAAAAGAAAATGGGTTTTCGATCCGAAAACAACACTGGCTGCTTTTACCTTCAGGTGTATACCCGCATGATATTTACCTCAAGTAATACTAATATATCATATTTTCCCCGCAAATTATCGCATATGTTTCCTCGATTCAGCTAGAATATAATGGTTATTCAATTTTATTTTTCAGGCTCTTGAGAGTGAACTTTGATCTAGGGGGAAAGTGAAAACAGTATTGCTAAACCAGGTAATTTTCGCAACTTCTGATCTACAACGTTATCTGTTTAGCTACAATACAACTTGCTTCTACCTTGTGTTTTGTGTTATAATATGTAGATATGTGTACCTATGGGAATAGATTAAATGTTACCCTTATAAAATTTCGACTTTAACAAAAGGCCTATAGAAATGTGTGCAAGTCAGATGTCTTCGAACAAAAGAAAGATGGATGAAGACCTAATTGATCACACGACAGGCCATCCATATCTTCGTGCCGAAAATAATGAAAGAAACCTTAGGCGACGTATCGCGTACAGAGAAATGCCACCTGAAGAAAAGGCAGCACTTCTAGAGCGATGTCGGACTGAATATGCTGCGAGAAAATGCTGTCTTTCTGGAATTTCTTCCGCCAAACCTTCTGATCAAAGTCATTCTTCTTCCGAATCTCAAAGGATGATTCCAGGACAAGCTGCTACCTTCATCCGAGACATACCTTCTTCTTTCCGAAATGGTTGGTTGAATTGAACTGTAATATTCGATTAACTTCCGGCATTTTAGGCTATCCTCAGATAGTTAATATATTTTGAGGTGCTGCCTGTATATTACACGCCGGCATTAGGAACATATTTCTCAAGAAGGAGGCACAACATAAAATTTTAATTTTCATGTTGGTAGTTGGAGTTTGTATAAATTTTATTGTTTGTAACACATTCTGCCTATTAATAAGCTCAGGTAAAGCACAAATGAGTTTTGGTGGGAAAAATAGATATGAAACTGATTGCTTTGGCATGTCATTTGAGATTAGTTCATTTTATCCATAGCCTCTGTGTTCAAGAAAGAGCTTGAGACCTATATCTCTTAAGAATCCTACAATCTTTGTCGTCTCATATATTATGTTTAAGAATCTCACAAAAGGTCTCGATTGACAAGAACAAGTCGGGCATATGCAGAACACTTGAGAATTATCTTTGTTCACTTAGAAAATATAGGTGACATCTTATTTTCCTCCTGGTGTTGTATATAATGTGTAATTGTTACCCTTTTAAAAGGGGTTATAAGGATTTCTAACTTACAATTGATAGCTTTCTTATTACATATAGAAATGGTGCATTACTTTCATATTCATTGTTGAATAATCTTTTTCAGATATTTTGTTTAAACTCTGCAATGGAGAAAATAAAATATTGGTCTTCTTTTGGGTACTGAATTTTGGATATAACTTTAGAATCAGATGACATTTCCCCATTTGCTTATGTACCACTTACGTATATTGTTATCTCTAGGTTAGCCTGCATGGAAAACAGGTTCTTTCATGGAAGAATGACCATGGTGAAGAATTACTTTATATGAGCAGTAAGGTCCATTTTTGACTCATGTTCCCACTGATCTTACATTATGTTGAAATTTTTGCTACCATGAGATTCTGTTTCCAGCATTGCCACAATTTTCTCAAGAATCCCTTTTACGCCCACCAATATTTCCTGATGTTAATATTTTGTCTTTGCCATTGCTTTTATTGTAGATCATCATGGATTTACCTTCGTATACTATGTTTTATTTCTAATGCATCCTTTTCCATGTCTTTCAGTGAATAGCAAGATGAAGCATGGGTTACCAGTTGCAACTCCTAAACTCAAGATTTTATCCAATCTCGCCAACATGAACATGAACAATTTGACTGTTTTGGACTTTCTAGCAAGCTTAAGAATGTACCTGTACAACTTTGTTCCGCATATACATCTATATGTATGATGTACTTTATGTTAATATTAAACACATTATGCCAATATTTAACTTTGTGGTACTACTATCTTGCGCACAATAATTACGCACAAATGCCCGTGCTTTTGCACGGGCTCGGGCCATCTAGTATATATATATATACACACACACACGCTGGCAGGGGCAGAGCTAACTTATTAGATATAAATTTTATATCTAAAAGATATATTGGGTTCGGTTGAATTCAATAATTTTTATTTAAATTTTATATTTGTATTAAGAAATCCATTAAGTATATATATAAATATTTAACTCCGAACACAATAATTAAGACTAATTATGGGGTTTGTGGTAAATTCAGAACCCACAACTTCAAACCTGGCTCTTCTTGTTTGGAGTGTGTGAACAAAGTCTCACATGGAAAGTAGAAAAGAAAAATAGGCTACTTATAAGGAGTTGGATACTCTTAATGATGTGAGGCCTTTTGGAGAAAATCGTGCTGGCATGGCCCAAAGCGGACAATATCACCCATGTTAATTAAGAGTATCTTTGGACCGCTTTAGCCCAAACATCTAGTATTAGGCAAATAGTTTGACGGGACTATGGATATGGCGAAGTGTGGCGTGGGGTTCTGGCTTAGTACCTTTGCCCGTCTACGGAGTTTACGACTTTACCCGTAGCTTTAAAGACGCATACACAACCTTTGAGCTTCGATGACCGCAAATACTCATGATCACGTGGGTGGCACACAATTAATCACCAAACTAGCCCATAAACAATGATGGGTCATGTGGAACTTAGCCCAGCACTGGAGTCAATTACTCAAAAATAGTCACTCAACTATCTCAAATTATCTCCTAAAGTCACTTTTCTTTCGTTTGTAACAACAAAGTTATTGAACTATGCCTATTGCACTCAGAAGGTCACTCAACTACATTTTCCAAATTTTGGAATGCCAAATGTCTATTTTACCCTCTAAATTATAAATATTTATCTTCTTTTATTTTTTTAAACTTTCTAATATTATGATTTCCCCCTTTTTAATTTCTATTATGGACTTACCTATCGAATAAATAAATATTATTTATAAATTAAAAAAATAAAAAGTATTTAAGCATATAATGCTGGAATAACAAAATAATGACCATAGTAAAAAAATTTAATTAGAACAATTTTTTAGTAATAATAATTTTAGTATTAACAACAAAAATTCAAAAATTTATTCACACAATCCAGAATGAAAGAAAATAAAGGATGTAAAATATATATTCCACGTACGTAATATAAAAATAATTATTTAAATAAAGGTATTTTTATAATATACATTATATATTCTTGAAAAGTATGCTCAATTTTATATATATATATATATATATATATATATATATATATATATATATATATATATATATATATATATATATATNTCATTCTGAATTGTGTAAACAAAGTTTTTGAATTTTTGTTGTTAATAGTAAAATTATTATTACTACCAAATTATTTTAATTAATTTTTTTTTGACTATGCTTATTATTTTATTATTCCAACATTATATATGCTTAACTACTTTTTATTTTTTTAATTTATAAATAATATTTATTTATTTTATAGGTAAGTTCATAATATAAATTAAAAAGAGAAAACTCATAATATTAAAATATTTTTTAAAAAATAAAAAGAAGATAAATGCTTATAATTTAGAGGGTAAAATAAGTATTTGGCAATCCAAAATTTGGAAGAACCTAGTTGAGTGACCTTTTGAGTGTAATAGGAATAGTTAAGTGACTTTGTTGTTACAAACGAAAGAAAAGTGAGTTTAGTAGATAATTTGGGATATTTGAGTGATCATTTGAGTAATGAACTCCCCAACACTGCCTGCCAACTAGTTCTGCCTCCCTCAGATACATGAATTCAGAAACTTTGTGTGGGTGGGAGAGAAAGAGACACTGATTTTCAATTTTCAACGATCACGGATGAGTACTGGTATAGAACAGTACTGAGACTGCTGATGACTTGCGATTGAAGAAAAAAGGTTACATCCATGCATGATATATAAACATGTGGATGTGTAGTGTACTAAGCTTAACTTGCAGTAGACACAGCACAAGAGTATGTGAGTTTGAGTGGTTCACAGTAATTGCTGATCAGAGGGTTCTGCAGCAGATCAGCTCAGTCCCTACTTAGGCAAGTCTGCACCTTCTCTTCTCCCTGCATGGCATCAGCCTCTATAATAATCGTCCCCCCGCTAAGGAAGTGGAGTTGGGACTTTAATTTCAATTTTAGAACGATGACTACCAATGTTAATAATAAGGTTTTAAATCTATATCTATATATATATATATATATATATATATATAAAGTTGGGACTTGACAAGGTGATGTGACATGCTTCTTTGACTTGGAATCTTATTTATTTTTTTTCTCCATTTTTTGGACTTTCTTCTATTGTTAAAAGACTTTATCTATGAAACCAACTGTTTAATTTAAAATTTATGGAACCCAAACGTTTTCTAACGTATAGAGACACATCAGTTCGGAAACGTACATACACGTTAAAACCATCTCTAACGGACAGATATTCATGATTGGACCTATTATTAAGTGTTAATATATAGGAGTAGTCAATTTTCCTCCATCAAGCTTCTCATTAGTAATACATGAATAGTTGGCTCTTCGTTAGTATAACTTCTCATTCTTTATAGCATGGATGGCGCTACAGCGACTTATTCACTCATTGGAATTTACCACATGCAGGTACCTATTCTTTCTTATATAATACAGGAATTTAGTCGATTTGAGTTTATTTCATATTATTTGTTTATATGCAATTCATATTATTTGTTTATTCACATCTTTAGAGATCCTGATCCATCTGAAAGAAATATCAGATTTGAAAAAAGCTTATGCAGATTGCAGAAAATAAGGGAACAAAGATGTCGATGATTCAAATGAATTAACTTTTAACAAGAGTTCCTCATAGCTTTGCAATATGGAACGCCTCCAATTCCGGAACGGTATGTGCTCGATTTCTAACTTAATGAATACGTTGTAGGGTTTTGGCGTTTGAGTTAAAATATTGATAACGTTTTTGTTTGAATCTGTTTAAGTTTTTGGTTTCATTTTCTTCAATTCTTCAGTGGGGATTTTATATGAAATTTTAAAGAGATTGTATTTTGTAAGGATAAATTTCTGCGATGATGCAGATTAGAGTGATTTTTGGACGCAAAGGGATTCTGCATATTTACAAGGTGATTCTGGATTTTATTAGAAAATTGACACGTAAGAATGGAAAATAAAAAATAAAAAATAAAGTAAAAAGGGACGGAAGAAAAGAAAGAAGTGAAAAGAAAAAACGAAAAAAAGAAAGAGAAAGAACGAAGATAGTGGGAGGGCCTCCCTCATGTTGTTCTATTAATGTCTTGAGAGTTTGGGGTGAGATTTGTCATATTTTGCGCCCGGAGTGGTAAGAATCTTTGATATAAATCAAATGTTAATATGACTTATGGAATAAGATTAATAATTTTGTGAATTGTTATTTCTGCCATTTCTTAGAAACTAAGCAGGCATATAACTTGGCAAGCGAAGGTGTTGTTAACATATCTGTATAACTTATAATTTGTTTTAAGTGGACAAGTAACGTAACAAAAACTTACCCAGAAGCTATTCTTTTGCGAACAAATCCTTGATTGCTATTAATTGATTTGCTAACTGCTAATAAGGCATTAATCTAATCCCAAAAGCTAAGACCTTAAAATTAAGAGACCTTAATATAGATAAATAAATTGAGGCCCCCTTTTTTTAGGGAAAAAAAAAGGATGAAACCGGCGAAAAAGGGTCATTTTCCTTTGGGAAGCTAGACACGAGAAAAGCAAAAGAGGAACTCCATATATTGACTTTAATTTTTTAAATTACTTCTAAATTAGACAAAGACGAGAAAATATGTCTCTTTTATTGCCTTTGCACTGTACCAAACATCTAATAAAGTAATTTACGCATACTTCATGCAAAAGAAATAAAGAAATGAATTTCTCCTTCCTTTTGTGAAACCAGACAAGATATCTGGGAAGTAGAACTCATTGATAGTGTCATTGCTGCAAAACACCTGCTTCCCCCGAACCAAGACAATATCGCAAAATATTTTGTTGCGCTTGTGGTGAGCAGTCTTGGAGGCTCCATAGGAGATATAAACTCACGGACTAGTGTTTCGTTGTAAACCTCAGGCAGATCAGTGAAGCACTCCCATTGTCTAACAAGATATAAAAAAATTGAACGTTAAAAATTAGATCTTAACAACTTTTTTTTTTTAATTTTTAAAGCTATTAACTAATAAAAAAAATTAATATAATGATGTTTTTATAATCGCGCGAAGCGCGATAAGTTTACTAGTATAAATATAAAGTTGGGAATGTAAAAGGTGATGTGGCATGCCTCTCTAGGAGTATGGCAATTTATCCTTTTTCTTATAATTTTGAACTTTTTCCTTATTTTTTGCAAAAACAAAGTCTTTCTCTAACTATAAAATATTACCATAATGTCTTTAAAAATATATTGATTCACTCTCTCCATTTAATTACGTCTTTAAATGACTTCTAACAGTAATTATTTGTAACTATTATCCACCTCTTCCTCCATCTATAATTACTTATCAATTAATAAGGAATCGTGTATAGGATACGAAACGTATAAGATTAAGAGGTCCTAGCACATTTATAACACACCTCTTAATTCTCACATCTCACAAAAAAGAAATAACTGCTCTACCTTCTCCCTTTAAATTTATGCACGCATAATCAGATTCATTCTCAATTGTTTTTGTTATGATTTGACTGTATTCAATTATTTTGTTTCTTTTCATTTTTATTTCTTTTGCATATTTTTGTCCGTTTGTTTTGTTTCAGACCTGCATGTTCTGAAACAACTGCTTACATTACTGGAGAGAAGTCTATAAATTTCTGTTGTGCCCACCAATTTTCGTTTATTACCTAAAAAAGATTCAATATGCTTCATTGCTTGTGTAGCAATAGTTTTCAATATGTGTCTTTATAAATTCATGAACTCC